GGGGATGAGGGTAATGTGGGGATAAGGACACATGTAATAACTTAATCAATAAAAAAATAAATAAAGCTTTGCAGAGACTCTCCTAAAAAGAACATGTAAAATGTTAATAGTAAATGACATTCCTGGAGTCCTCTGTGTGTCACAGAAGCACCTCAGTGGCAGGCAAGCACTATATAAATAGAAAATGGCCAGGTCAGTGATCTCTGCCTCATTTCCCAATTCTGTGCAGCTCAAAATGCTTGTGATTGCTGCCCTCGTTCTTTTTAAATAACCTTTTTAAAGCAAGCAGTTTAACGGGGCTCGCTAATATGGGAATTGGATATCCACTGGAATGTTGAAATTGTAACCTTTGGTATTTCAGCCTCTGGTAAGGATCTGCAACCGTTACTAAAAGTCGCAGGTGTGCTAAGAAGCACTGCAGGAACTAGTGCATCCGAGTTCACTCTATTCTTGGAATAATTATATTTGTGTACATTTTTAACATTTCACTTTCTAATTTTATGCTTTCACAACCCTGTAAGATTAGTAATGTGAACCCCCAGGAGAAATACATCTGCCAAGAAGGACTCCTCATGGTTAACCGGGCCCAAATTAACACTTAGAGTCTCGCAGCCATTGCTGACAGAGGCCTCTCACACACACTGCCGTTCAGGGAAAAGTCACGGAACTAAGCTGTCAGCTTCCTGCACTGTGTGCTCCAGCCACCTGAGTCAACTCCTATGAGGGAGTTCCAACCATGCAGCGAGACCTGCCCGGACCAATGGGAACTATAGAGCTATATACTCATTTGCATCTATTTTGACCAATCAGAGCTGTTCTCTAATGAGACCAATCAGAATGCAGAATTCCAACCAATCAGAATAGTGCATTTGGACCATTCAGAACTGTGCTTCTGGATTCCTCGCTTGCATAAAAATGGACCAATCAGGAAACAGGGCGGGGAGTTTCTCTATAAAAGGTGGCCTCCCCTTAGTCTCAGTGGAGCACACTTTTGGTTTTCACCAGAGACTGTGTTTTCCTGGCTGCAAATTGTGCACAGGAATAAAGCCTCTCCTCCACACTCAAACTGAGAACTGTTTTGACAGTGAGAAAAGTGTCTTCCCTTTTCAGATGAGGAAACCAAGAAAGTAAGTGGTTAAAGGTCTTGTCTATGGTAACAAAACTAGTCAGTAATCTGTCAGGACTAGGACACAGTCCCGATCCTGGGCTCAACCGAGGACATGTTTATTGATTTTAGAGAGAGGGGAAGATGAGAGAGAGAAGCATCAGAACATTGAGTGGTTGCCTTCCGTACTTACCCCAACCAGGGATTGAACCTGCAACCTAGGTATGTACCCAGACCAGGAATTGAACCCAAAACCTTTCAGTATGTGGGTCCACGCTCCAACCAACTGAGCCACACCAGCCAGGGCTGGGCTCAACTTCTTTTTAATACAGTGGCTCATCGCCACATGTGGCTATAAAGGACTTTTAATGTGACAAATTTGAACTGAAATGACTTGTAAGTACATTTTCGACTCTAGATTTAGAAAACTTAGTATGAAAAAAGTAAAATATTTCATTAGTCATTTTTATATTGATATTGAAATAATTGGGCTAATTATTAAAATCAATTTCACCTGTTTCTTTTTTTTAATCTGGCTACCAGAAAATTTAAAATTACAAATGTAGCTTAAATTATATTTCTACTACACAAGGCTGGTCTAAACAATTCTCTTTCTTGATTGATTTTTAAATGCATCCTCTAGAGAGAGACCAAGATGGCGGCATAGGTAAACACCGGAGACTGCTGCCGCAAACAACCACTTCAAAAATACAACTAAAAGACGGAACGGACATCACCCAGAACCACAGGAAGGCTGGCTGAGGAGAGACTCTTCAACTAGAAGGAAAAATAACAGCACACCGAGGCTCAGAGGAGGCGCAGTGTGGAAAAAACTCAGGTGCGGAGGTGCGCGCGCAAAGCGGGCTGGTGGCTGAGAGCGCGGTTGTCGTTTTCGGTCAGGGGGGAGTCTCAGACTCTGAGCTCCAGATACGGGCGAATCGCTGGGGACTCGGACCCAAACGGGAGAAGCGGGAGTGTCTGGCATCAGTTGGAAGGCAGCTTTCCCTCCGAGGTTTGCAGCGGTTCCGGGGGTTCTGAGAAGCAGAGCCTCTGGGAACGGGACTGAGAGGGGCCATAACCGCTCCCTCCGCCCGCCCGCCCTGTTGAGCCCGCCCCGCCCAAGCCCTGCGCAGAGCCATTTGCCAGATCGCCTCAGGCAAAGGCTAGATTAGCACCTCCCCAGAGGACAGAAGTTTTCCGCGGCAGACACAGCTGATTCACACAGCCAGTCGGCCTGGTGGTCAAATCCCTCTAGTATTAACTACAACAATCAAGGCTCAACTAGAACAAGACTGCGCACAAAGACCACTAGGGGGTGCACCAAGAAAGCATAAAAAATGCGGAGACAAAAAAACATGACAGAAATGGAGGATATAGAGCTAAAAAACGCAATTTTGAGGGCTTGCAATAAACTTCTGGAGAGCCTCACGAAAACTAATGAGACCCTCGATGCTATGATAAAGAAACAACTAGAAATTAAGCATACACGGTCGGAAATAAAGAATATTACACCCAATAGCAGACCAGAGGAGCGCAAGAATCAAGCCAAAGATTTGAAATGCGAAGAAGCAAAAAACACCCAACCGGAAAAGCAAAATGAAAAAAGAATCCGAAAATACGAAGATAGTGTAAGGAGCCTCTGGGACAGCTTCAAGCGTACCAACATCAGAATAATAGGGGTGCCAGAAGATGAGAGACAGCAAGATATTGAAAACCTATTTGAAGAAATAATGGCAGAAAACTTCCCCCACCTGGTGAAAGAAATGGACTTACAGGTCCAAGAAGCGCAGAGAACCCCAAACAAAAGGAATCCAAAGAGGACCACACCAAGACACATCATAATTAAAATGCCAAGAGCAAAAGACAAAGAGAGAATCTTAAAAGCAGCAAGAGAAAGAAACTCAGTTACCTACAAGGGAATACCCATACGACTGTCAGCTGATTTCTCAACAGAAACTTGGCAGGCCAGAAGGGAATGGCAAGAAATATTCAAAGTGCTGAATACCAAGAACCTACAACCAAGAATACTTTATCCAGCAAAGCTATCATTCAGAATTGAAGGTCAGATAAAGAGCTTCACAGATAAGGAAAAGCTAAAGGAGTTCATCACCACTAAACCAGTATTATACGAAATGCTGAAAGGTATCCTTTAAGAAGAGGAAGAAGAAAAAGGTAAAGATACAAATTGTGAACAACAAACATGCATCTATCAACAAGTGAATCTAAGAACCAAGTGAATAAATAATCTGATGTACAGAATGAACTGGTGATTATAATGAATCAGGGACATAGAAAGGGAATGGACTGACTATTCTTGGGGGGGAAAGGGGAATGGGAGATGCGGGAAGAAACTGGACAAAAATCGTGCACCTATGGATGAGGACAGTGGGTGGGGAGTGAGGGCGGAGGGTGGGGTGGGAACTGGGAGGAGGGGAGTTATGGGGGGGAAAAAAAGAGGAACAAATGTAACCTGAACAATAAAGATTTAATTAAAAAAAAAAAATAAATGCATCCTCTATTTTTAAAGCTTGATGGTGACATTTAACATTACTAGCCACTGTACCTCTTTTATTCAATTCTATAGACATTTGTTGAGTGCCATCTCTGCAAGGAACCGTGCGGACAACAGGAAGATGAAAAAGACATTGTCCTCTCCTAGTCTCCAGAGATTCACAATAGAATCTGAGAGATGAAATGAGCACAAATTCCTATAATTACTGGAAGCTTGTGGTTTTAGACCACCAAATGGAGAGACTTCTGGCAGATGGGGGATTGCAAAAGAGGGATTTGAGTCTTGAAGAATGTATAGGGTTCCAAAAAGCAGAGAGTTTCATATAGGAATCCCAGGTGGACCATACCAACGAGTTTGGATTTTATCATGTAGGTGATAGGGAGCCACTGGAAGTTTGAGCAGGAGAGAGATATCAGAGTTGTGGTTTAGGGAGATTATCTTAGCATTTTATTGGGACTGATGGAAACTGGAAGTAATTGGATATGCAAAAGGCAAACACAAACACGAACCACAAGGGGGAGATGTATAGCTTCCTGCCTCATCCCTAATAGAGAATGTTCATGGTTTTTTTTAAAAATTAAAAATCACCCTGCAAAGATCTCAATGATTAAGTTCTTTGGTATGAACTGATTTTATGTTCTGAGGCATGAAAATCAATCTACAGATTTACTAACATGTTTACCTTTCAGAGTGATATGGTATCTTGTTATTAAAATGAGCAAGTGAATAAAAAGGTCATCTT